TAAACAAAAATCTTTTTTATAAATGGTTTATAACCTTACCTCGTATTATTATATAAAAAATAGGAGAGTAAGTCCTAGATCAAATGTATTACATTAGATAATTTTTTTAAATAATGTTTTAGATCCTAATGGTCTAATTTACTGACTTATACCACCTTTACTTGTTTTCTACGCCTCATCTACCAAATTGAAACGAATGTCACAATAACTCATGTTTGTTGGACAATCTGAAAACTATTAAAAAATAAACTATGTTCTTACGGCGGATATTTTTTCAGTAAATTCTATATTACCTTTTTCAACATCTGCTCATTATTTAATATTAATTTCAGTTTTCTTACGGCTATTCTGCTCCGATGAGTAGGATACTTTTTACCAACCACATGTGGCGCTTGGTGTATCCCAAGGGAAGATGCTTCCCCATCAATTTATGGGCTAAGACACTCCATTTTTCTTTTACTTCCCTTTACCTTTTTTCCTTTTCCTCTTATTTCTCCACTATTTCCTGGCCTTTTTCCTCTTTTACTCCCTATTTGATTTCCATTCCATTCTCCTCTCTTTTTAATCTCTTTTCGGGTTTCTTGACCTTCTCTTTCACCCTTTCTTTATCCTTTTTTCCACCGATTTTACACTTCTTCCACCATATCATACTTGTCACAAAATTTGGCTTATTGAGCAAGCACACAAGATTCCATACCATCGCTACTTATCCACTTTTTCGTATTTTTATCCCCTCTGACTTTCACACCAATCGAACACCAATCGAACACCACTCTCACTCTTTCTCTCTACAGGTCTTTCTTTTCTACACACTTTTCTCACCCTAATAATTCATAGAACTGATTCCTGGTAGTCTTTTAATTTATTACTTTATGAGATAATTCCTTCTCGAAGATATCAAGAATCTTTTTAATTTACTACTACCCTCCTTTACTCTCCCCTTTCTTGACTCGAGTTAATCTCTTATCCCACCCCCTTCTACAATTTCAAGATAATCCCCCCTTTTAACCTGTTCTGAAATCAACTTTGATTTTATACTCAAGAATTTTTCAATTTTCACATAATCAAACGATTTCTCTTTTTTATATAACAATACGAGGTTGGTTTATAAACCATTCATAAAAAAGTTTTTTGCTTATACACCCTCCATCATGTTATCTACTATGTAACTTTACTATTTTAGGCCTGATGATGGCTCATAGAGGCCGAAATCAGAAGCCAATAGTAGAGGAAAATCTTGCCACTCCTTTTCATTAAATAATATTAAATCCTTATTGTTTCCCGATATCACAACACATGGTGAAATATCATAAACATACTACAACATTTTTTGTTTTTGAATCATTTATATAAAACTTTTGTTCACCAACAAAAACATCGTTTTTACGATTTGAAAAGATTTTGTACTGATATTCATAAAGAGTGCAACTTCTTTTAATATACTCTTAATCATAGAGGTGGGGAGTGTGCATAAAAGAAGATTCACATAAAAGCTGCGTTTTTTTGCATTCAGTATTAAAATGGAAATGTATGCAAACATAAAAGTTAATGGAGATTATGTAGATGCTCACAACGGTACTGTTTTTTTCTATAGGGAATGTACTAAAAACGAATTGAATAAATTTTCAACAATAAATGTTTATTCAAAGGTGGAAAGTTATGGAAAACTACCACATCTTGTTATCAAAATACATTAAAATCGTAATAATAATATCTATGATTGGTCTGATTTGAGTTGTTATGAACATGCAATGGTTAAGAAAATTGTTTTAAATAATTATGCTCATGAAAATTGTAATAGTCTTATTGTAACAATTAAACTAGATGATTTATAAATATGTGCTACCTTTCCTAATAATAAATATACTTGGCTCTGCTTTACCGTTTCCTAATGTCGAGAGAGGTGTATTAAGGTTAATAAACGTATGTTGAAGTCACTAATCCATCCCCATGCGTCTTAAGGTTAACCCAGTCTCAATATTATTAAAACAAGTTGAAGTTTGGAGGTTACCAGCTAACTTGTTTGCTACCTAATGTCTAGACAGGTGCTAAACAAACATATATCGAGGTCTCTAAGCCATTCCCATGCGTCTTAAGGCTAAACCAGTCTCTAACCAAGGAAATAATTGAAACGAGCTTAAGTCTATCACCATACAAAAAGACCTTGACTCCAAGCCTTTCCCGTACAATTTGGCTCCAGCTCTAAGCCTACCTCTTTTTCCCTCTACTGCCAATTAAAAATAAAATTTTGTGCTAAACAAATTTTCTTTCTTCATATTTTGACATATTTGATATGATATGGCATCATAAAATATTAACAACCTTAGAATATTGGAGTTTACACAATATATTACCTTTCATTCAAACTTTCTTCTTAACAGAAACTTTCAAGTCAAAACTAACGGAAATTTATCCAACACCAAACTCCAAGAAAACGGGACACCCCAAGGATCCGTCATTAGTCCTACGTTATTCTTAATTGGTACAAATGATATACTTAATACACAGCAAGAAAAATAGTCTCGTAGTTTCACCATACAAGAAACAATCGACTTCTCAAACAGACCAAACCAGCTACAAAACTTACCAGTTCTAAAACCTGGAGATCATACTCTAAAGTACATTATTAAAATAACATACCTAGGACTGATATTTGATCAGAGTTTGACTTGGAAGCCGCATATACAAAATTTAGACTTATCTTGTCAAAAAATATTGAACCTACTTAAAAACTACAAAACGGTGGGGAGCTGACGGAAAAACTTTATTGATGCGTATAAAATTTTAATTAATAAAAGTTTACCTAAATGACAAAGGCATATTCCAGTTTACTAAATACATTTCTTTAAAATAGATTCGCTTCTAGATTCCCATCTCCTGTAATTTTTTAAACGTTTGCACCTAGTGGCACCTAGTTTGAAAAGAATTTTAGACATAATATTCACCTTATGGTATTAAAATGTTTTAAATCTTTTATTTCAGGTTTATAAATATTAAAGGTAAATTTTGACAAATTTTAGTACTTATGATAACTGCAAATTAAAGTGTGAAAATAAATGTGTGGTTATTTGGCAAAACATGATGACTCACTTTTTTGCGTTTTCGAAATTTTGTCACCATGATATGTTTAAAATACCAAATTTTATATTGGCATATCTCTATCTGGATAATTTTGGATGTGCCGGGATATAGTCATTATTTGATACATTTTTATCCGCCATTTCATGTTTTGGCTAAACCTGATATGTAGAGATTTCAAGGCTTGCCAAATAATCAAAATAGTATAAAATACACATATCAGGTTATGACAGGTAATTTTGAGTTTATACTAATGCCTCATTTTGTTGTTTATAGAGCTACTGTATAGAGTGTTAAAAATTATTGATGTGATTTTTTGATAATTAAAAGAAAAGGTAAGTATTAAATGGTTTTTTCTTGTGTAATTTAATTGGTCTGTTTTCATAGATTTCATTAGAATTATTTAACAATATATAAAACTTGAATTAAGGACATATAGAGCAACTTATAAAGTATCAAACTTATACTGCTTTTACCTTTCTCAATAGTCTTATTCTAATATTTTAAAAATACCAATTCAGTGCAAGCCATTTTCTAGAAACAAATGGGTATCTATTTTCTTTTTACCTAGACAAAGAAAATAAGATCTAAATATTTCCAATTTAGGTAGGTTCTTCGTGTAGGTAAGTAAGATACCTAAAAGATAGTAAATTTTGCTTAGTTTTTGTACAAAAGATATCAACACATCATTTTGTTTTCTGAAATTTTTAAAATCTATAAATTTCTCTTTAAGATCGATAAAGAATTCAAAAAACTACCAAGGTCAAAGCGTATTATAGAACTGGCGAAACCATTATGTAGTAAATCTGCAGATATGGTAGAACTGGTAAAAATTTGTGTTTTGGATCAGAAACTTATTGGTCAAGGGGTACTCAGTGATGAAACATGTCAATTGGATGGTGAAAATAATATTGAGAAAGTACTGAAAAATCGAATGGAAAATCAAAAAGTAATAGTTGAAAGAGATTTTAGTTATGATGAGTAATTTCAATCAAGCTCTAGTAATGTGGATAACGTATCTCAAACAGCGAAAATCCCTTGCCCATAAATAATTAGTAAATCTGAAGATGAATAACAAACAACTAGTTTTGTGTCCAAAGAAAGTGATTCATCTGATGATGAAGTGTCAGGAGTTACTGAATTAATAGATATGGAAGAAAATGATTCTGACATTGAAAATATGGATGATGACCGAGACGCAAATTTTGTGCCCGAAGGTGAAGAATCTAACAAAAACGAGCCATTTAGTGACAGTGACGATTCTAATATTGAGCCACTCATCAACAAAGTATTATCCAAAAGATGCTAGCCATCAAGTCCTGATATGGAGAGTAATATAGTATGCAGCAAACAAAACAAAAAAAAAAAAAAAAAACAAAAAAAAAAAAAAAAAAAAAAAAAAAAATAAGCAGAGAATTGATGAAAAAAAAAAAAAGAATTCAAAACGGGAAGAATATATAACCAGAAAAGGAGCCAAAGAATTTGAGCCTGTCGCTACTTAAAAGCGTTGAGAGACTGTCACCAGAAGTACAAAAAAGTATTTTTAAAATTTCTACTTTCTAGCCGACAGAATAAGATACCGAAACCAGAAAAAGAAAGAATAGGGATATCATGGTTCCATACTTTGCTACCTTATCTGGCACAGACATTAAGATTTGCAGAACTATGTTCGAAATAAGTTCACGGCATTATAAGAGGCAAAATTGATTTTATAGTTCAAAAGAAACAGAAATCAGCCACAGGAATTGTTAAAGAAAACTTAGGTAACTTAGGGGAGCCACGCAAGCCAGAAAATAGTAAAGATAATGAAAGAGAGGCAGCAATCGAACACATTAACAGTTTTCCAAAATATCATAGTCATTACTCCAGAAGCCATGCAACAAAGCTATACTTAGCACCTACCCTTAATGTAGCCAAAATGTATGACGTACGTCGCTCAAAGAAAGGCAGAAGAAAAAGAAAAACCGTTATGCTATAGTACGTACTGTAAACTGTTTAGGGAAACAGGTTCTAAAATTAAAAACCAAAGCATAGATACATGTAAAACATGTGCCAGGCTCACAAATGAATTAAAATGTACATCTACTGAGAAAGAATGGAACGAAAAAGCTCTGGAAAAAGAGAAACACTTGGAATTGACAGAAAAAGCTTATAACCTAACGAAAGTCGACAAAGAAAGAGCAAGTCATTCTCAAAATGAGCGTATACTGGTTTTTGTCTTACAGCAAAATCTTCCAACTCTTTCGTTAACAACTGGCGAAGTCTACTACAAAAGACAGTTGTAGACTTACAATTTTACAGTAAGAGATTGTAGTGCGACATGTTTTATGTGGCATGAAGCTATATAGGATCGTGGGGCTGACCAAATTGCTTCCTGCAATGGAAAATGTTTAAATAATTTACCATCAACTGTAACTAAAGTAGTGTTCAATTCAGATTCTTGCCCTGGTCAAAATAAAAATAATATTATAGCTGCAACGATGTCATGGTTTTTACATTTTTTAGACTGTAATGCGATGTGGACCATGCAAGAATCGACAGTGCAAAAAAAATTATTAAGGAAGTTGAAATCAAAATCCCCATGATTGGGAAAAGTTATTGAGATGCAAAAAGAAGACTTTTTGGCATATTCTTCTCTTCTGAGATCGATGTTTGTGAAACGTGATGCCACGGAATCGGGCTAAAATATTCGTTGGCATGATATCAAAGTTTTATGGTTCTCAGAAGACCTGGGACTTGGCATTATTGAAGTTAAATATTCGCATGACGAAAATGAGAAATTTACTCGTTTTAACATAAAAAGGAGAGGCAAATATAATCCAGAGTTAAAGCTTATTTACAGTGGCCCAAAAGCTATAAATCCTAAGAAAAAAGAGAACTTGCTGTTGCTCTTAAAATACATAGACACGGTTTATCACCCATTTTACGAAAATTTGAACATTAATGAAAGCGCCACATCTAAATAGTTAATAATTTCCTGTTGTTTATTCAATTTTTTTTATCAAATAAAGAAGACAATATGCATTTTTTCTGTAGTTTATATCTACGCACGCCATCCCATTCCATCTTGGCAAAACATGCTGCCTCATTCAATTTTCACTTTCCACTATTTTTTTTCAACAAATGTTTTTTGTTTCCTAAACTCCATGTATCATCACTCAAAAGTTACATATAACCAAAGGTATTACAACAACAAAGTAATTGAGAAAAAAAATAATTTTTCAAAAACACAATTTTTAAATGGCTCTTCTGTAACATGCGAAAAGTAAATTATCATGTTTTGCCAAATAGCCACAGAACTATATTAAGTGTTATTAATATTTTTTTCTACACCCGTATTATAATAATGCACTTATATGCCCATAATCCGTTTCATAATGATACCCATTATGATACAGATTTTTCATTACGATACAGATTTTTAATCAATAGAAACCTACAATTTTTCAATCAAGCATGCTGTTTGACGTTTGTCCTAGGTTCCTATGTAATTATTTTAGTTGTCAAAACGTATTAAATTTTCGTAGGTAGCTAAACTTCGATAATTATAATATTAAAATGTCTGATATTAGCGATATAGAAGACTCCTCCACACATATCGGAGAAAGCAGAAAATACAGTACAAAATATTTTACCGCAAAAATCTAGGGAAATACCAATACCTGAAGTAATACCATTAATTACAATTTTGTAGAATTTTTTATAGAAATACGAGTAATTACTGTTATTGTGTTCAATACCAATATAAATATAATATTTATAGGTCTTGATTATCTATCGGGTGTAGAAAAAATAGCGTATGCAACTCTCATGTAATGGTTATTAAAACACTCGCATAAACCATACGAAACTCGCCTTTGGCTCGTTTCGTATCCCGGTTAATGCTCGTGTATTAATAACCATCATTACATGATCGTTGCATAATATACTATTATTTATTATATATTTTCATAGTTCATTAAAACAAACGTAAACATATTATTGCAGATTATACTGGTTATATTTTCTATACATTTAAAATATATATATTTTCTTAATAGAAACATATTTTCCGCAAATAAATTAATCAAAAACTGAAATCATATATATTAAATCGCTCATAATTTGCATAAATTAAACAGAATTTATCAATTTACCGAAAATTCCCTAGATCTTACGTCAAAATGTACCTAATTTTTGAATTACCATTAAATTAATACGTTTGCAATATTTACTGAAATACTTACTTCCAAAGAAGACTAAGAGGTAACTACTCTAATTTAATGTAAGAGTGATAATCACGCACATCTGTGTCAACAAAACAAAGTCAATTTCCCTCTAAATCGCTAGCAAAATGCCAGAACAGAGTTACGCCGTATCTAACCTAACTTTACAATGTGGGTCAGAGCGATGGAACAATGTTTACATGAAAATAAGATCGCGAGTCTCGACAATTCGGGATGAACCGGGAGGAGAATGTCGCCTGCGGGACGCTTTGTCTGCTGGCAGGAGGAAAACTGAAAACGGGAATTTCGGCGTTGAGAGAATTTACAAATTTGCAGCACGCCTGCGCCCTCTATTTTAGTTTGGCAAGTGGTAATAGATAGTAGTTTTGAAGATTTTTCTTGTTTTATTGTTCGTTTAACAACGGCTAATAGATTTTTGAAACAGGAAAGTTTCGGGTAAATGTACGAACTATAGAAGTAAACGAGACAAGTTTCGCGAAAGTAGGATGAAGTCTCAGGTCAAAAAGTTACATTTTCTCATATTCTGGAACAACGAAAAGGGTTAAAAAGTAGTTTCCGAGATAAAGTAGCCCATTTGCACGTTAACTAAAAGATCTTGTTTTGTTCTTACAGAGTGATTGTTATCTTTCGGAAAGCAATTTTAAAATAACTGAATTCTTATTCATATTTTGCATTTTTTTTAATTACTTAAAGTATATTTTTATAGAAACCTATTAAACGATTTTATTATTAAATTTTTGCTGGATGTGGGAAGGTCTGGTCTGGAGGTTGCGTGACTCCTTCGCATGGAAACTTAGTGGCCTAATTAAATCAGCAACCCACCTCGCTTCAGGGAGCAAGTAAGGCTGACAGATTCGGCCAGTGATGGTTGTTAAGTTGTATAGAGGAAGTAAATTTAACACCAAAACTGCCTGTACCCTCAATCTAACAGGTATATTGTACTCAGTAATAAAAAATTAAAAAAAAAATAGTTCCAAATTTATTTTTTTAAAAAAAGGAGAGAGAATAACATAGAATAGAGAATTAACATATTATCAAACATGCATTATTCTTTAAACGGTTAGGTACTATTAAGTTGTAGTAAATTATTTCCTTAACAAAATCAAAAAATAATTTTTAAAATTGGACTTAGGTAATATAAAGTCATAATTATTAAATCAGCAAAGTAAATTCGGGCATAAAAATGATTGAAAAATATGAAAATATCCTTTCTCAAGACGTTTCGTAATCGTACCGAGGGATAGGCGATATTATCTTCCTCGTCTACCTAGTATTGAAAATTGGACAGACACGGAATAAGGGGTACATATAATAATAATAATCTTTATTAACCAACAAACGAAAAAGATTACAATAGTTGTTAAAAAAAAAAGAATTCAATTTAATAAATAAGTTGGTTAAAAGGCGCCTATTCAGCAAAGCTGTTCTTCCATAAGGACTTATCGCAAAATAAAACCTAAATTTGTAAGTGTATATTATAATACCCTAAATAAATAATAAAAAAAAAAAATACTTTTAAAATAACATCTTATCTTACGACAACATAACCTTTTCTCCTAGATTGTTTTTATAATAATATTTATTAATAATAACAATAATAATAATGATAAAAAAATGATGTAACAATAATATTATAAAACAGGTCATAAAAAAGCTTTCAATGAATTTTTTTTAGGCTAATACCTACATCTTCATCTGCTTATGGCAACATAACCTCTTTTCGTAGATTGATTTTATAATAATAATAGTAACAAAATCGTATTTATAAAACAAGATATAGGAAAGCTTTCAGAGAATTTTTAACGGATCTGAAGATAATATCTACATTGCGCATGAAAAATAGTTTTTTTTAAGTAATATTTAAATGAATTTAGAGATTTTCTTCTTATATCAAGTGACAGTTCATTATACAAAGCGGCAATAGTGTATGAAAAAGATCTTGTAAATAAGGCTGTTTTGTGTTTCGGTATTGTTATTGTATGTTTGTAACCTATGTTAATGTTGTGAACGTCTTCTCTATAAGTAATTTTTCTTGTCAAGTAAGGTGGTTTTTTATCAGATATAATTTTGTGAAAAAACGTAAGAGAATGCAATCTACGTCTATTGGCCATATTTAACCAGTTTGCTGTTATAAGCTTATGACTAATTCGATCGTACTTCCTAATACCGTAGACTAATCTAAGGCAGGAGTTTTGTAATTTTTGGAGTTTGTTCTGATCAACGACTCGTAAACATGGTCCATAGCCATAATCGCAATAGTTGGCATGCGAAAGTACCAATGACTCTGTCAGTAATAACTTAATTTCTTGTGACAGATATATCCGATTGGCATACAAAAGCTTTAGATTGGAATATCTATTCTTTAAAATATTATTGACGTGATAAGGAAACCCAAGATTTTGATCAATAATAACCCCCAAATTTTTCGATTTCTCAATAGGTTTTAGAATATTATTTTTTAGTTTAATTGTAATATTATCTTTTGTTAAACCAAATAATATAATATATGACTTGTTTGAATTTAAATGCAAATCGTGTTTACTAGACTGGTCAATAAGATTCTCCAAATCACTGTTAATTTCATTTTGCAACATTAACAAATTTGTTTTACTACCGAAACGGTACAATTGTGTATCATCTGCATACATGTGCATTTTTGAAAAATTTAAACAAGTAGGAAAATTGCTAGTGTAAATGGTAAAAAAATGGGCCCAAGAATTGAACCTTGAGCTACTCCTCTTTTAATTTCACCTTCGTTTGAGGTGTGTCCTTTATATGTAATTACTTGATGTCTGCGATTAAAGTAATTTTTAAACAGTTCTATGGCTGACTCATGTACACCTATAAATTTTAATTGTGAAAAAAGCACAGTGTGACTAATTGTGTCAAAGGCCTTGCTGTAGTCCAACAAGATCAGTGCTCCGACATTTCCCTTATCTAGTTCCCTAAAAATGTCATCAGTGATATTTAGCAATGCACTACCACAACTATATCCCGGCCTAAATCCAGATTGCACCTCTGGGAGGATATTATAAGTATCTAAGTGGGTACGAAGTTGA